CCTGTGTTATTTGAAATAATCCTAGTAGTCTTTAACAGTTTGTTATCTAATATGGAAAGATAACCCAGGGTTTTCTTAGATAATTTTCTGCTCTAAAACTAGAATTAGCTATTTTATTTTATTGAAAATGGTCTTGAGAAAGACCACCGTCTGGGTGCCATGGATGTTTGGTTGGTCATTATTTCTAGAGCTTTTTACTAGAGGGACAAAATATCTTCTGAGTTCATACCTGAATTTCCAATTCAAATTCAGGATTAAATATTTTTATTTCATTCTTTTATATTAAATTTTATTCTTTCAACTACATGAAGAATACTGGTTCTCAAGGACAGAGGCAGTAAAATTAACTATCCATTAATTAGTAATTTGCTTTATCCCACAGAAACACACAACGGTCACAGAAAACAGTTCCAATACTACCAATCATCATGATTTCTGGAAACCATTTGTAAAACTTTTGCGCGTGCTACCACAATTCTCTTCCCTTTTAAAGTAGTACCAATTCTACATTCTCAGATCATGTAGCCATTACATACTATATACTTTCGCTTTTTGATGCTCATGTAGTGTTAGTTCTATAAGTAATCATACAGTGGGAACTGAGGTAAAGAAGTAAGGGCAATAAGATTGAATCAGCAAAGAATTCATTATAGAGGACTTCTTACCAAGAAGTCTAATTTTATCCTTTAGGCAGCAGTGTGCTTCCAGAGGATTTTGAGTCATGAATTAAACCGATTTTTCTATGTTATGTAGCACATCACTCTCCCGCCAAATACTGCTCACAATCACAGTTCTTTCTCCAGTCCCACAGTGGTAGACCTTGCCCAAGGCGGGCCCACTGAGCCCCTACTATAGCCCCTCCCTCTTTGCTGGCATCCCCACTTGCAGCCCATGTCTGCCATCTATACTTGTGGCGTTGTGAAAGAGTATATAATTTGGAACCCTAAATCCTGTTTTACTCTGGTTGACCATTTGGCCAGTTCTATTAGCTTTTTTGAATCTCTGTTTCCTTACTGTAAACGGAGTGGGGTTTTATAAAGTCCTGACATAAAGATCAAGTGAGATATATATATTGAGAACTGAACATGATACCTAGCACACAGCAGACAGCTCACAAATATTCCCCCATCCCTTTGCCCAGTTCTATTATTTTCCTCCTTTAAATTAAATTATCAGATATTTATTGAGGATTTATTATATTCAAGGCACAGTTTCAGGTACTCCCTGATATCTCTCTTGACCACTGGTTCTCAAACAATATACCTGGGAGCCTCAAAGTTCTGATGCTTGCATTCCAACATTAGATATTCTGATACAGATTCATATATATATATATTATAAAGAGTGGCCTGAGCATCAGAATTATCCCCAGATAATTTAAGTATGGAGTACATTTGAGCATCATTGCTCTAGACTAGGACTCTGGCTCTAATCAATTCAGAAGCTCTTTCTTCCACCTATCCATCTGGCTCCTCTTTAACTGTGAGAACTGACATGTACGTCCTTATAGAACTAGAATTGATTGAGTTCTTCTACTTACTCATATTTGGATATATCTATGGTAAAGAGAGTGGCAACAGAATGAAATAATCTTCTTCCTTTGCATTTGACGTGTGTTGTTTAACTATCTGGCATCCATTTCCCTGGCAACAGGCTTGATTTTTATTTGGGAATCCACTTCTCCCCCAGCCTCAGCCCACTTGGCCGGCTTGGGGCTTCCCCTGGTCCTAGAAGCTCAAGAAACTAGTACATGAACTCTCCTGGCTGCTGTCAGTGTCGGTCCACGCTGAATGTCATGATGCAGTTTCCTAGGATTGCTGAAAGACACATTTTTTTCTGCTGGATTGGAATCTAAAAGAATATGGTTCCTGGAGGTTCTAGCAGCTATTTCACAACCTCAAAGAAAAAGGTAGAGCCCTGTACCATGTGGTTCAGTGGTTAGAACATCCACCCACGCACCAAAGGGTCATGGGTTTGATTCCTGGTAAAGGGTACATATCTGGGTTACAGGTTCGATCCCGGCTCTGGTCAGGGTGCATGCAGGAGGTAATCAATTAATGTGTCTCTCTCACATCAATGTTTCTCCCTCTCTAAAAATCAGTAGAAAAATATCCTCAGTTGAGGGTTAACAACAACAAAAAGGTAGAAAAAGGTTAAAAAAAAAAAAACTCAGAGAGAAAGTCTGTCTGAAAATATAGTAAGAGAACAATACACAGACCAGGAAAGACAATTTTGAACCACAGTGTCTAGCGATTTCTCAAGCCAGGTGTACCATTAAATTGCTGTGTGAACCAATACATTCCCTTTGCTTCTGCCTCTGCCAATTTTAGTCATGTGCTCTGTCACTGGCAATCAAAAGAATCCCAAGCTGATACAGTCTCCTCTCCTCTCCCTCAGAACCAAATCCAATCAATAACCCATACACGCAGAGAATACGTGCCAGTAATGCCTCAATAATTCATTCAACAGACAGACGTGTACTGAGTGTCTATTGTATACGATGCCTGCCCTAGGAAGAGACATTATAGTGGTATACTATCATTAAGAACTGCACAAATTTTGTGGAAAAATACCCAGCAACAAAACCATCCCCCTAATGTGTATAAGAACCTGTGCTAGATGTTGAGGACAGAAGGATCATAAGCCAGGGTCTATATTCACCAAGGTCTGCCATCAAATTGGAATGATGGCATGCACACAGAGATAAGCAGCAATCTGGGGTATTAGATGCATGGATTCCTGAGGATGGATATCAAACTCAAAGTAAGATGCCTAGGCAGAAAATCTTAATAAGCACAGGCAGCATAACATTTTCATTTTCCTTTGAACCAAAATTAGCTAGGAAAGGGAGGGAAAGTGCTGTAGAAAGTGGGAGAGAAGAAGAGGTAACAGGAGGGGAAGAGAGATTAGAGGCTTTGAAAATTGTTCTAAATGTTTTTTTAATTAAAAAAATAAGATATCTTGAGGATTTTATCTGCTTACAAATTAATCATGCTAATTTTTTAAAAAGTAAAATAATAGTCCGGCTGGTGTGGCTCAGTGGTTGAGCATTGACCCAGGCAGCAGGAGGTCTCCAGTTCAATTCCCGATCAGGGCATATGCCCAGGTTGTGGGCCCGATTCCCAGTGAGGGGCATGTAGAAGGCGGCCAATAGATGTTCTCTCTCATCGATGTTTCTATCTCTCTCTCCCTCACACTCTTCTCTCTCTGAAATCAATAAAGGAAAACAAAAAATTTATAAAAAAATAAATTAGAATTACAGAAATCTCTTCATTCATTCATTCATTCATTCATTCAACACTATTTATTGCATGCCTGTCAGGTGTCAGATACTGTTTTATACATTGCAGTTTTAGCAGTAAATAAAACGTTGCCCCTACCAGTTACATTCATTGTAGTGTCTACAAAGTGAAAAGTAAACTTTCTCATTCAACCTCCCAAAAATGGCCATTCTAAATGTTTTGGTAAATATTACAGACATTGTAAATGTGGATACTGGTATTTTTTTGTTTTTACAAAAAAATAAGTATATGCCATACTTACTATGGTGAAAATAGTAAGTAAATGTTGAGATTACCCTTTTTTGCAAATTGCTTTATTTATTTATTTCTTTTTATTTCTTTTTTCCTTTATTGATTTGAGAGAGAGAGAAAATGAGAGGGAGTGAGAGACAGAAACATCAATGAGAGAGAACATCAATTGGCCACCTCCTGCATGCCCCCCACTGGGGACTGGGCCCACAACCTGGGCATGTGTCTTGACCGGGAATCGAACTGGCGACCTCTTGGTGCCTGGGTCAACAATCAACCAGTAAGCCACACCGGCAGGACCACAAATTGCTTTTTTTAAAACTTAGCACTATAACTTGAACTGGTTTCATGTTAACAAATATAGATTCATCTCATCTTTTTAATGAGACATGTCATATTCCATTGTATTTAACTGTTATCTTATTCATTAACATTTGCTTTTTTCCAGGTTTTCACAATGATGAGCAATGTCATTGTGAAAAATGTGTCATTTCTATAATTTCCCAAGCGCTCAAAAGAAAGTGTTAAAGTTCTCCAAAATGGAATGGTTTGATACACAGTGTAAAAGATGTGAATTAAATTCCCTTCAGGTAAAAACCTTATCGTCTACTTCCTTTTTGATTAATCATTGACTTACTGAGCACTTAAGATTTTACACAAGTGATTTTACACAAGATTTTACACAGTCTAAAATCCATTAATATAAAAGTGCAGACTGAGAAACAGATAAATAATCAATAGCTATTTTCACAAAGTCTTCTATGTGCCCAAGTCTGTTCTAGGCTCAAAGAAGAGAAATCTGTATTTTTCTTGAAATAACAGGCCACCACATTTGAAGTGGGCAAGAACAGAGTCAGTACTCTTTGATGAAAATCCTTCTATTATACCCAAATATCATTTGCCTTTTCAGAAAAGCTATTATTTAAAATATTAATAGCAATTTTATTTCTAAATATTTTATAACGACTTCAAACAGATTTCAAGAAACAAAACAATCATCTTGTTGAATAGAAACACACAACCATAAAACAATATTTCTATTAGAACCAGAATTATTTGACATTTAAAGACTCTCTCTAGATGTTCCATCATCTCCTACCTCGACTATTTTCAATAATCAAAATTATTTGTCTTTTCATTCACATAAAATTGTCTCCAGTCTATTTAGTGAACAGTTCAACCTTCCATCAATGCAAAAAGATTTCGATAACAATTCAATTAACTAAACAAGCTGTTTAATTAATAAACAAATTTTTTTAGGAGGAAACCGTAGCAATTTTGTTTGGCATGCATGCTTAATTGTGTGTTTTAATAGGTTGGTTTTGGCGTATGATCACTTAAAAAGAATCATCAAGCACATCTAAATAGTTAACTGTAATTGCAAGATTATGCCTTTTGCATTTTATGGTGTATAACATCTAGCATAAGAGAAAATAAACTCAAGAACAACAAAAAGTTTCATTCACTTACCCTCTTCATAACCACAGCCAGGGTAAACTTCACTCAGCCTTAGGCCATTGACTTTATTCTGAAGTTTCCATCTCCCACACAATCAGATAAACCCCAGCTTGTGTGAGTAACTAATGGAAACAGTGCCGTAAAAAGAATTGCCAAGCAAATTTCCATGTGCTTAACCTAAAAGGGAGAAATTACAACATGAGCTGAGTGAAAAGTTTCTAGCTGTTTTTAAACCAGAGGGGGTGATTTCACTTTTAGCAGGACCTTGTGACTAAGATTGCCTGGTCGGGAAATGATTAACACTCCTGTGTTCATCATCTGCTTGAACTCTCCAGCTGCAGGAAGCGGGGGGAACCTTATCAAGCTTGGGCATGTGTATCGTGATACCCTCTCCTGAGCAGGGGCTTAGTATGCTGAATTCAACGCCAGTGTGAGGTTAAATAAAAATGTATTCAGAACTTCCGCCAACTTCATCAGAGGTTATTTTTATGGAACTATGGTAATAAAAGATTTTATTTTTACTTTTCATTTCTGGGCCCCACTTAAAATATGGGTGGTCACTGAGACCCTTTTTCTGAAAATTCCAAAGTTTTATAAATACTATTATCAGGGGCTTTGGTTTCCCTCAGCCTTGTTCACGGCACACCCACGCTTGACTCTAAAAACTCCAGTGTCTCCTTGAACTGCCAGGTCTCACTCTTGGAAACCAGGGGCATGGAAAAACAGGGAAGAACTAATTCATCGTGCGCAGAACTTGGAGGCACTAGAAAGTCACCAAAGGACTATTATTTTTTCTCTAAACGATTGTTATGAATAACAACGACTACATAATCATTTCTTCAGAAATACTTCTAGAAGGAGTGAAAGAAAAAAATCTCACCCAGATATGAGAATGAAACAGCATCTCATGATCTTAGACCAACTTCTGTGCACCGTCTTGTTAACAGGAGGCTGCGGCGATGCTGCGAACCCTTGGCTTCTCCTAGGTGGAATGCCACTCCACCAACAGGGCTCAGCAGAGTGTGCATTTCCTGTCAAACGGCTGAGGGAAATGAAAACTGGGTCTCAAATACAGCACCGAAGAGCTTAAGAGCTACTTGTCGGCTGTGTTTATTATGCTATGAACTTTGCTTTCCTCATAGCCCTTATATTGCTGATTTGGAAGTAGATTGATGACTCAGAGTTCTTAATCATTCTTCTAAAGTATTCACTAGAACTGTCAAATTCGTTGTAGGAGCTCACTTACAATTCCCCCTCCCCCACACCACCGCCAAAGAAAGGGGATTTGAACTGTTTCAATGCTGTAAAATGATTCAAAATAAATTCAACTAGTTTCTCGCTCTGTAGCCCTACATCGCTTTTGTCTCTGAACTTCAACAAGCACTCTGAGATTCAAATATTCTTTGCTAGTCTAGCAATGGTTAGCACTTTAGAGTCTTAACTACAACACCCTCACTTCCTTTTGTTGGGCTACAACCAACTAGAGAGTTGGAGAAGAATGCCATACCTACACCAGTTTTAAGTCACCTCCAGCATCTATCATTATAACAGTGCCTGGCACATAGTAGGCACTGAAGAATCATTTGCCATAATTATTCAGTTGTCCAAAAGGATGGTGTCCACAAGCATGTAAAAAAAGCAAAAAAAAAGCCCTGGCCGGTTTGGCTCAGTGGTTAAAGCGTCGGCCTGCGGTCCTGAGAGACCCAGGTTTGGTTCCCACTAAGGGCGCGTACCTCAGTTGCAGTTTGTCCCCGGCTCTGGTCAGTCGTGCAGGTGGCAGCCGCTCGATGTGTTCCTTTCACATCGATGTTTCTCTCTCTCTCTCTCTGTTCCTCTCTCTCCCTCTCACTCTACCTGAACAAAAAATGGAAAAATGTCCTCGGGTGAGGATAAAAAAAATAAAATAAAATAAATAAGCAACCCCAAAATCTTCCAGAACTGAGGTTCTTAACTTAGATTTAAAAGGAACCCCAGAACTGAGGTTCTTAACTTAGATTTGAAAGGAACCAGGGGTTCTCTGAACACCCTAAACTGTATGTAAAATTTACAATTGTGGGCTTTCTGGGGGAAATGTCATTACAGTTCATCAGATTCTTAACTGAATAAATCAAGGACATATACAGAAAAAGGCATGATCTACCACTCCAAAGAAGTATTAAAAATATGTAGTCTCACCCGGCCGGTGTGGTTCAGTGGATTGAGCATTGTCCCATGGACTGAGCATTGTCCCATGGACTGAGAGGTCCTGGTTCAATTCCCAGTCAGGGCATATGCCCAGGTTTCAGACTCAATCCCCAGTAGAGGGTGTGCAGGAGGCAGTCAATCAATGTTTCTCTCGCACATGGATGTTTCTATCCCCCTTCTTATCTCTTAAAAAAAAATCAATAAAACATATTTCTAAAAAATATGTAGTCTCTGGGTGGGCTTGTGAAACAGACTTTAGAAATGGATTGAAACTTTCAAGGAAGAATTTTATTATCTCCACAATATGGCAAAGCCCAATTTTAACTACTTCGAGTAACCTACAATGTCATTAATTCTGTGTTTTAAATTATATAAATATTATGAAGTTACTATCAATATAGCATAATAAACACACATGAACAGACCCTCAAGGTGCATGTTCAGCTGAATCAGAGTCGGTTAATGATATCCATATGCATGGTGTTGTTCTAGCATTGGGGTTCTTGAGTTTCCCAAGTTAGAAATCAAGAGGAAACCCCAGTGAAATTTCCAGATAGATTTTATTAAGCTAATGCCTGTGCAGCAGGGAGACAGCACAGTGGAAAGGAAGGTCCTCTGGACTGGCTGGGGCTGGCTCTGCTTGGCTGCTTTGTAAACTGAGAACAAAGTAGATTTGCATGAAAAGCGGGATTGTGAAAAAGGTGGGCTTGTGGAGGGTGGGGGTGGAGCTATTTCCTCTTTCTGTGGGGTCGCTTACCAACGATCTTTGGCCTATGATGCCAAGGCCAAGGTGGCAGACTGCTCATTACCTCCACCCCAGGAAGGTCTTATAGGGGTCAAACTACTGGTATATGGGTCACTAGTTTGTTTTTTTTAAATATATTTTTATTGATTTTTTTTTTCTTTAGAAAGAGAGAGGAGGGGAGAAAGAGAGAGAGAAACAACAATATGAGAGAGAAACACTGATTGGCTGCCTCCTGCATGCCCCCTACTGGGCATGTGCCCTGACCAGGAAGCGAACTGGGACCTCTCAGTCCATGGGATGATGCTCAATCCACTGAGCCACACTGGCCAGGCTGAGTCATTAGTTTCAATATCCACAGTTAAAAGGGAGATAAAATTAGATACCTCTGCATTTTTGAGTGGGGAGTGGAGGGGTGGTGACATTTTTGCCCAAGTTCCTTATGACTACCTGGTCTTAACTTGGCTTCCTGGCTACCAGGTATTTTCTTTCTTTTTCTTTTTTTAACTCATCTTTATTGTTGAATGCATTACAGATGTCCCTCCTTTTTTCCCCTCTTGCCTTCCCACTCTCACCCCCCTTCTGTCTTCCCCACACTATTGTCTGTGTCTATTAGTTATGCATATATGCATATAAGTTCTTTGGTTTCTCTCTTCCCACACCACCTACCCTCTTCCCTTTGAGGTTCATCAGCCTAACAACCAATCTGCACTTATTAATCCATTTATCTTTTTTTTTTTTTCCATTTTTTGTACAGATAGAGTGGGAGGGAGAGAGAGGAAGGGAGAGAGAGAGAGAGAAACATCGACGTGAAGGGACACATCGAGTGGCTGCTACCCGCACGACCAACCAGGGCCGGGGACAAACTGCAACCGAAGTACATGCCCCTAGTGGGAACCAAACCCGGGTCTCTCCGGACCGCAGGCCGACGCTCTAACCGCTGAGCCAAACTGGCCAGGGCTAATCTATTTATCTTTTTCACCCAACCCTCTCTCCCATCTGGCAACCAACAGAAGTTCTCTGTATCTATGAGTCTGTTTCTATTCTGCTCGCTCATTTTGTTTGTAGATTCAATTATTGATAGATATGTATTTATTGCCATTTTATTGTTCATATTTTTTTATCTTCTTCAAGAAGACCCATCAACATTTCATATAACACTGGTTTGGTGGTGATGAACTCCTTTATCTTTTTCTTGTCTGGGAAATTCTTGATATGGCCATTGTTTGTAAATGAAAGCTTTGCCAGAATAGAGTAATCTTCGTTGTAGGTTCTTGCTTTTCACCACTTTAAATATTTCTTGCCACTCCCTTCTGGCCTGCAAAGTTTCTTTTGAGAAATTGGTTGACAGCTTTATGGGAGCTCCCTTGTAGGTAACTAACTGCTTTTCTCTTGCTGCTTTTAAGATTATCTCTTTGGCCCTGGCTGGTTTGGCTCAGCGGTTAGAGCATCGGCCTATGGTCCAGAGAGACCCAAGTTTGGTTCCCACTAGGGGCATGTACATCGGTTGCAGTTTGTCCCCGGCCCTGGTTGGGTCATGTGGGTGGCAGCCACTCGATGTGTCCCTTCCACATCGATGTTTCTCTCTCTCTCTCTTTCTCTCTCTCCCTCCCGCTCTGTCTGAATAAAGAATGGAAAAATGTCCTCGGGTGAGGATAAAAAATAAAAATAAAAAATAAAATAAAATAAAATAAAAATTCTTTGTCTTTAACCTTTTGCATTTTGATAATGATGTGTCTTGGTGTGGATCCCTTTGGGTTCATCTTGTTTGGAACTCTCGGTGTTTCCTGCACTTGTATGTGTGTTTCCTTCAAGTTAGGAAAGTTTTCTGTCATTATTTTTTCAAATAGGTTTTCAATTTCTTGTCCTCTCTCTTCTCCTTCTGGCACTCCTATGATGCGAATGTTGGTATGCTTAAAGTTGTTCCATAGGCTCCTTATACTATCCTCATATTTTTGGACTTTTTTTTTCTTTCTGCTGTTCTGATTGGGTGTTTTTTGCTTCCTTATATTCCAAATTGATGGTTTGCTGCTTGGCTTCACCTACTCTATTATTGATTACCTGTAAATTATTCTTTATTTCAGTTAGTGCATATTCATTTCTGACAGGTCCTTTTTTATGCTCTTGAAGTCCTCACTAAGTTCTTTGACGTCCTCACAAAGCTCCTTGAAATTCTTACTAAGTTCCTTCAGCATCCTTATTAGCAGTGTTTTAAACTCTGCATTTGTTAGATTGCTTATCTCCACTTCATTTAGTTCTTTTACTGTCGTTTTGTTCTATTCTTTCATTTGGGACATGTTTCTTTGTCTCCTCATTTTGGCTGCCTCCCTGTGTTTGTTTCTATGTATTAGTCAGAGTTTCTATGCCTTCTAGGCTTCCTAGGGTGGCCTTTTATAGGTGTCCTGTAGGGTCCAGTGGCACAGCCTCCCTGGCCCCCAGCTAGGCCCTCGAGGTGTACCCCTTGTTTGGACTTTACACCCTTCTGTTGTGATTGAATTTTGATTGCTGTTGGCACTTCAATGGGAGGGTTTTACTCAGGCTGATCAGCTGCAAAGACTGGCTGTGCCCATTAACCACTGGCCTCTGACTACGTTGGAGGATCATCTGTGCAGGGGCCCACCACCCCGACCAAGACTTACTTCATCAGGCTCTGGTACCCACTGAGTCCATTCACTGAGTGTGCCACTTGTGTAGGTGGTTGGGTGGTGGTGTTTCGACGTGGTCTGAAGCTGTCCACTGGGTGTGCTGGCTCTGGGGCAAGGTCAGCCACTGCCTGTGTTCTACCCGGGGCCACCAGGCATAAGCTACAAAGTGATTTGCAGATGGCTGCTTCTTGTGCTGGGCTTGGAGGTGCCCAGGCCAAGCCAAGTTGTGAACCAAGGCTGGCAGCTTCTAGTGCCAGGACTGGGGCCACTTAACGAGAGGTATGGGGCCTGCTGAGGTCAGATGTTTCTTGTTTGAGAGAATTTCAGAAAATCTGAAGCAAGAACCAAAAACAAGCCAATCCTATGATAAAGCCACTGGAAACAGCCTCGGTGGGCCCAAAAGTTGGGTGGGGTAGGGCCTCAGGGAGTCACCAGGATGGGGCAAACAGTGTGAGCCAGGTTGCTGGAGTC